TCCACCTCACATAGTCTTGTAATCCTAGCACCGAGTTCTACCCATGTCCAAAGACACACAAAGCAGCACCGTATATACAGCCAGGACCTTCGTTGCATCTAAAAGCAGGGACTGCCTTTTCTCCCTATTCGGACTTCAAATGATGATTTTTAAACAATTCAATCTAAACCTCAAAAAAGCACATTATTAATAAAATCCTCTCAGCTTTCTCCCAATCAAAATAAAAGAAAATCAAAACCATCAGAGAACAAAGCAAAGAATGACACTCTTCTCCGGACCCCAGCCTAGTGCTACTCTCCTGCCCCACCCCAAAATACAAGTTGGCAGCTTCCTAGATGCAGAATTTATACCCGAAGTTGCTGGCCCCAAGGGAAAAGATGGCCTTCAAACCCTACCAGCACTGCGGGGATTCAGCAGAGCAGGAAAGGATCCCAGAGCAATTTTCACCAGAGTGAGGTTCCAGCAAAACTTCCAAAATCAGTTGCCCTACCTCTCCCGACTCTAGCATTTCACATTCCCTCTTCAGCCTACTCTTCCGGAGTCTCCACTACTGAGCTACTCTTGCCAAGGTCATCAACAGCATCCACTTGGCAATTCCAATGGATAATTCTATCTTCTTCTTCCTGATTTTTCAGTAGCATCAGCTCTGTGGACACCACCCTCCTTTCACCTGAGCTTCATGACCTCATAGCCCTCTATTTTCCTACCTCCCTGGCTGACCCCTTCTTGGGTTTCTTTGTGGCTCTCTTCCATCTCATTCTGAGCCTCATTTGTGCATATACACGCGTGCGCGCGCACACACACACACACTTTTCATCCTTTCTTATGGATTTGCCTATCATCTAAATGTTACCTACATTCAGGATTGCTCCTCTGAGTTCCAGACTTGCATTCAACTGTCTACCTAAGATCTCTAGGTGTATATTTACCAGGTACCTCAAACTTAGTATGTCCGTAACAGAGCTCTTGATTCTCAAAGCTGGCCCGCCCAATTCAAACAAAAACAAAAAAACAAAACAAAATCTCCTCCCCCAGTTTTTACTCCCCTCAGACGTTTCCAGGGCCAAAATCTGGGAGTCATTCTTAATTCCTCCCTTGTTCTCACTCCCTGTATCTCAGCTACCACCAAGTGCTGATGGTTACACCTCTAAGACATATCCCTTTTTATATATACACCAGTTTTATTGATATATAATTCATATACAATACAATCCACCAATTTAAAGTGTATAATTTAGTGGTTTTAGAATATTTATATACCTGTATGACCACTATCAAATCAATTTTAGATATTTTCATCACCCCCAGAAGAAACTATGTACCCATTAGCAATCACTCTCAATTTCCCCCTAGATACTCCAGTGCTACATTACTCTTTCTGTCTCTCTAGATTTGTCTGTTCTAGAAATTCCATAAAAATGGAATTATGCATCATGGTCTTTGTGTCTGGCTTTTTTCACTTAGCATATTTCCAAGATTCATCCATATTGTAGCATGTTATCAGTACTTCATTCTCTTTTACAGCTGAATAATATCTTATCACATGGATATACAATATTTTATTTGTTCATCAGTTGACAGACATTGGGTTTTTTCCATTCTTCAACAATTATGAATGATACTGCCATGAATATTTGCATTTTTATATAAACATATGTTTTCATTTATCTTGATATATACCTAGGACTGAATATGCTGGATCATAAGGCTACTCTCTAACTGTATGAAGAATTGCCAGACTGTTTTCCAAAGCAGCTGCTTTGGATAGATTTTGCATTCTCACCAGTAGTGTATGAGAGTTCCAATTTCTCCACATCTTTACCAACACTTATTACTGTCTTTCATAGTGGCTATGAAGTAATATCACATTGTGGTTTTGATTTGCATTTCACTAATGGCTAGTGATGTTGAGAATCTTCCCATGTGGTTACTAGCCATTTGCCTATCTTCTTTGGAGAAATGTCTATTCAGATCTTTGCCTATTTTTGAATTCAGTTACCTTTTTATTACTGAGGTGTAAGAGTTCTTTATATATGCTACATATAAGTTCCATATCAGATTATATGATTTGCAAACTTTTTTTCCCCATTCTGTGGGTTGTCTTTTCATTCTCTTGATAGCATTTTTTGATTAATTTTGTTGATGTCCAAGTTATCTATTTTTCTGTTTCACTTGTGCTTTTGGTGTTGTATCTCAAAAAAAAAAAATCATTGCCTATCCCAAGGTCATGAAGATTAATACCCATGTTGTCTTCTAAGAGTGTTATAGTTTTAGGTCTTACATTTAGGCCTTTGATCCATTTTGAATTAATTTTTGTATCTCGTATGAGGTAGTGGCCCAACTTTATTCCTTTTCATGTTGATATCCAGTTGTCCCAGACCATTTGTTGAAGAGACTATTTCCCAAAGAATTGTCTTGGCACAACTGACAAATATCAATTACCATAAATTTATGGGTTTATTTCTGATCTATAAATTCTATTACAAAAATCTATATGTCTATCCTTATGCCAATACCACACTGGCCTGATGGTTGTGGCTTTATATAAAGTTTTGAAATCAGGAAGGATAAGTCTTCCAATTCTGCTCTTTTTCAAGATGTTATGGCTATTCCAGATCCCTTAAATGTCTATGTGAATTTTAGGGTCAGTCTGTCAATTTCTGCAAAGAATCCATCTGAGATCTTTTTTTTAAGATTTTATTTATTCATTTGAGACACAGAGATACAAAGAGAGAGAGAGAGAGAGAGAGCATGAAGAGGGGGAGAGGCAGAGGGAGAGGGAGAAGCAGGCTCCCTGCTGAGCCAGGAGCCCGATGTGGGGCTCGATCCCAGGACCCTCGGATCATGACCTGAGCCGAAGGCAGACGCTTAACCATCTGGGCCACCCAGGCGCCCCTCCATCTGAGATCTTGATAGAGATTGCACTGAATCTACAGATCAATTTAGGGAGTACTGTCATTTTAACAATAGTAAGTCTTCCGATTCATAGACATGAGATGTTTTATCACTTATTTAAATTTTCCTTAATTCTTTCAACAATGTTTTGTAGTTTTAATAGTGTAAATTTTATACTTCTCTGATTACATTTATTCCTAAGTATTTTTTTCATGCTGTTAGAGGAGGAAATATTTTCTCAAGTTCATTTCAGATTGTTCACTATAAGTGTATAGCAATAGAACTTATTTTTGTATATTGATCTTATACCCTACAACATTTCTGAACTTATTAGTTCTGATACTGTCATGGATCCCTTAGGATTTTCCATATCCATGATCATGTATTTGCAAACAGGGATAGTTTTACTTCTTCCTCTCCGATCTAGGAGGCTTTTATTCCATATCCTTTCTTAACTGCCCTGGCTAGAACTTCCAGTACAATACTGAATAGAAATGATGAGAGTGGACATCCATGTCTTGTTCCTGGTCTTAGGGGGAAAGCTTTCAGTCCTTCGCATTAAGTGTGACGTTAGCTGTGGGTTTCTCATAGATGCCCTTTTCAAGTTGAAGAACTTCCCTTCAATTCCTCCTTTGTTGTTGTTGTTTGGTTTGTTGTTGCTGTTTTAATCTTAAAGGGTGTTGGAATTGTCAAATGCTTTCTCTCCATAAGACATACCTTTTCACACTTACATTTCCTTCTGTACACACTCTCTATACTGCCCCCATAGTTCAGTCTTTCTCATCTTTACAGGTCTCTACTTCAGGAAGTCCTGGACCATCCAGTTCAAAAGTCTCTATCCATCACTATCTCTTCTCCCGTCTATCATATAAACTTCAGAGCACTCAGCCATTATTATTATAAGTACAAATTCTGATAACCCCTGTATAAGGTTTAGTATTTGCCAGCATGTATTTATCATCTTAGTCCTCACAACAACCTTACTAGGTAGATGCTATTATCACCATTTTATACATGTGGAAGCTGAAAGAGAGTTTAAGTATCTTCTTCAAGGTTATACAGTTTATAAATGGCAGGTCCCGAGGCACCTGGGTGGCTCAGTTGTTAAGCGTCTGCCTTCGGCTCAGGTCATGATCCCAGGGTCCTGGGATCAAGCCCCACATCGGGCTCCTGGCTCAGCAAGGAGCCTGCTTCTCCCTCTCCCTCTCCCCCTGTTTGTGTTCCCTCTCTTGCCGTGTCTCTCTCTGTCAAATAAATAAATAAATCTTTAAAAAAAAAGAAAAAAGAAAACCCAGGTCCCCTAGCTCCCAAGACCCTTCTCTTAAACATTTGCTATCATATCTATCAGTAATTGCTCTTACTTATTTCTAACTTTATTTGCCAATCTCATTTACTGATACATTTTTAGTATCTAACACCATGCACGGCCGGAGTCCGTTAACTACTTAATGAACAAATGGAACACTGGTCTCAAGACGCCCCACAAGAGGACTCTGGTAAGTACTGCTGACTATACACACCCATGAGATTCACAAGGTTCATGTGTTTTTGAGATCCTTCAGTAAGAAAGGTCGCTTAATTTTAATTCAATGTTTTCTAAACTCATTTGAGCACAGACCCATCTTCCCACCTCTATCCCCACTGCATTAATAGTATAGGGAACTGTGTTCCAGGGAACACAATTTGAGAAACACTGCCCCAGAGAGGCAGTCCAGAAAGCACAGTTCCCAGAAGGTGCTTCTGTTCCCCTTTCTGTGCCCAGCTCCGTTCTCATCTAAAAAGTCTCTCCCATAGCCTCAGCTCAGTACAAAAAGAAAACCCCAGTATTAAGTTTTCCTTTTCTTTCCTGGAGCTCCTAAAGGGCCCATAGGACACTAAGGAGATATAAAGATTTTTCCAACTATCGAAAGGGCTCATCACCCCTGTATGTTTGTGGTCCTGTAACTTATCATAGAGGGAGCTTAAATTTTCTCAGAGCTCTGGTTTCTTGAATGTGATTCAAACAAATTCACCCTTCATGATGTACTTTAATCTGCATTCTCAGGATGCAGGCAAAGCCAATGATGTGTTAACCACAAAATTGTATTTCTTTCCTAAATACTTACTGTAATGCTGATATTAATCAGCTTCAGATATAGAATGACTTCAAAATCTTCATATCTCAGCTCTGTAAGTCTTCAAAGTCATCTATTCGAAGTCTCTCTGAAAAGGGGGAAAGAAAAATTTCAACTTTGAAATCTAAGAAAGAAAAGAGCAAACAATATAAGACAGACAACCACATGTATGAGCAAAACAGGATACACTGCTGTGATTAATTTTCTGCTTCTAAAGAGCTTTTACTCTTTCAATTAGTCATCTACATCAGCTACAACAAATTACAGGCAGTGGTTAGAGTACCTTTTTAAACCTCTTATAAAAAATACCCAATAAAAATTTGTTTTCCTTCATCTTAAAGCCAATGAATAAAGTCATTTCTATGCAATGGTTCTCCAAAGCTCTAATTTTTCCATAGTGACTGAAATTTTATACATTTGGTCTAACAGCAAGAATTATGTTGAGTAAATATGAGTACTTTCTAAAATACAAATTTACAACATATCCAAATAAGGGGATTTGGGAAAGAAGCCTTGTAACAAGGGAGACTTGAGAAAACAGAGAAGAATGGGTTGGAATTCATCAAGGAGTTGGATATGTATAGCCAGAAGGAACTGACAAAGGCCCAATTCCTTAGAAAAAGAGATACAGAATAAAGAAGTTGGAGACTAGTGGAACCCATCTATGGCACCCAGAGTGAGTGACTGGGCTAGAACTTGGTCTATGCCATTAATTCCAGGCAGAGAAAAGCTTCCACATCTATTTTCCTCACAGGCTGGGGAATGAGGGAAAACCCCACTCATACTGAAAGTACGATAGAGGAGCACTACAGCATATGTACATTTCCCTGTGTGATTTTCCTACCTGCAGGTAATCTGTATACAAGATAACTCGCTTAGTAATAGTTCATTTCTTACACTCAAAATGGCTGCCTGCCTGTGTGGCATCCCAGTGACTCAGCCTGGGAGAGGGATACCAAATACAAGCAGGGCTTCAGCCCTGAGATCCCAGACTAAAGAGGAAAGCCCCTAGATTTATTAGTTGGTTAGTGGTAAAACAGCGTTGGCTTGGGAAAACCTATTGTTTCAGGCTACTGAGGCACTTCCTCCTATTTCCTCCCAATGTCTGTTCAGCACTTCTTTGTACTACCTTTTGAAAATGTCATCTTAGCAAAGAGTTCACTCAAGCACAGAAGGCCCTGGAAGGGACAGGAGCCCATGACACACCAGCATTGTAAAGGACCAGAGCTGGCATCAGCCCTCAGTTTTTAGAAACATATGGGAGGCATGGTGTCTGATCCTATCTTACTTAACTCGGGTAGAGAGAATGGGGTTCCTCTCCAGAAGCCCGTGCTGGGGCAACTTACAAGGCAATCACCCTGTGGTGATGAGAAGCACAGGGGAGTCAACCCACGTGAAGTTCCCCCAAAGCAAAAAAACATTATTGTCACCCCTGCCCAGTAAAATTCAGACAGCTATGAACTCATTACTTAAAGCCACAAAGATGGTTGTGGTAAACACAGACAAACTATTGGGTTTAAGTAGACTGTTCTTTTGTGCCAAAAAAAAAAAAAAAAATCTTTTTTCCTCCTCCCCCACAAATCTGTTTATTACTAAAAAGCTTTGGAGCCTTGTGAATGGAGCTAGACCAATTTAAGCCTGGCTTTCCCCTGGGGCCCCTCCTTAGTATACTAAACTGAGGAGGAATTTGCCTGCTTTAGAAAAGGAGACCCACTTTCTGTACTGGCCACAGAGGAATGAAAAATGAAATTATTCAAAAGGAAAAGGGCCAAGAGAACCAAAAGAAGCCAAGAGGTAAGGGCAGGAGAAGAAATCCTCATCTCTCCCTCTTAGAGAGCTCTATTCTGACCAGACTCCCATGTCTATTCTGTCCTTGGCCCATGTCCCTCAAGTGCCCTGTAGAGGAGGGGTTCTCAAGCTTGAGTGTGCAAAAGGGTTCCCTTGGAACTCTACAACTGCAGTTCGAGAAGAAAGAGAATCTACTGTGGAGATCATGAGCCCAAGGACCAAGGAGTTTGAAAGGCCTGTACCTGCATCACTAGTTCTAGGAATCTGGTTTGCCCAAAGACAAAGGGATAGTCACTAGGTAATAAAACTTCATAATACAGCAACGGACAGGAAAACAAAACAATAAATCAGCTTTAATGCACTCAAGATAACTTGGGGAAAGAAAAGGGCAAAACCACAATCAGGAAAGGGTCCAAATTAAGTGACAGGCTGAAGTTTAGTAAACTAGTCAAACCTGCCTAAGAGCAGCAAAAATTCCAGAGGAAAACAGGGCAATGGGGAAAGGAGAATCAGTGTGCAGCAGGAAGCGGACCCCAAGTCAAAGTCTTAGCTCGTCTTGCCAGGGCTCTCTCCATCCTTCTGAAGTATTTCTTCCTGGTCAAAAACAAACTTTCACCTGGCTTTCAGATGATTATCGACCCCTGTGCAAAACCTCTCACATGAGTTTGTGACTAACTGTAGACCAACTGTATCTGGAGGGAAGATACACCAGAGAAAAACATACTTTATCTTACATTTCAAAAGACAGATTTGACAGAACATGCCGATGGAGGTGTCCACAGTGAAAGGACGTTTCTGGTGAGTTTTATTCATGTACTACCCTACTACAGTGTCAGGTGCCTCAAGGTCCAGAGCATTTAGCAGGGTCTTACCCCCTCCACCAGGCATCCAATAATGGATTCCTATTACAGATCCTAGGGATGAGCCTTCCACAAGACCCACTTTTGCTCTGGTTACTTTCTCCCATCTTTCTTTTCCTGGATGCCTAGAGCAAGGAAAGGAGGTTCTTTAAGATATTATCAGGAGCGGGGTGCCTGGGTGGCTCAGTCAGTTAAGCAACTGACTCTTAGTTTTGGCTCGAGTCATCATCTGTGGTCATGGGATGGAGCCCTGAATCTGGCCCTGCACTCAGCATGGAGTCTGCTTCAGATTATCTCTCCCTCTCCCTCCTGATCACTCTCTCTTTCTCTCTCTCTCCCTCTCTCAAATAAACAAACAAAATATTTTTAAAAAAGATATTTTCAGGGGTGCCTGGGTGGCTCAGTCGTTAAGCGTCTGCCTTCGGCTCAGGTCATGATCCCAGCGTCCTGGGATGGAGCCCTACATCGGGCTCCCTGCTCTGCGGGAAGCCTGCTACTCCTTCTCCCACTGCCCCCTGCTTGTACTCCCTCTCTTGCTGTGTCTCTCTCTGTCAGATAAATAAATAAAATCTTTTTTAAAAAAAGATATTTTCAGGAGCCATGGGCATTTCCTCCTTATCCCATACAAATCTCAAGATACCTTTCAGGATTCAGCTTAGATGCCTCCATTTCCATGAGACCTTTCTCCAACTGTCTTACTTCTTCCTCAGCAAGCTTTCTGTCTCTTCAAATCATGCCAATTATCTAATTATAGATGACCACTATACTTAATTCTCAACCATCTAGGATTTGATTAGCCAGAACAGCAATAATATAATAATAAAAATAGTAATCATTGTTATTATTTGAACATTTATAAACAATAAACAAAATTCCTCCAAATCAACAAAACTGTGTACCTATTAGAAGGCACCCACTGACTGGAACTACAGAATAACCTGTAGACATCACCACGGGTCTGTAGCTGTGTGGGGACAGTCCCATTCCATCACCCCTCAGATATGTACTTACTATATTGGTGCCTGAGGTGTCATTCTGCTAGCATTAATTCCAGGACCACACAAGTTGATGGAAAAACCATTAGTAAGTGACTGGACTGGTCATGTGCAGGAGCCAAGGTTAGAGGCAATTGAGCAATGACAATAGGAGGAAGGTGACACAGGAGAGAGGGCAGCAGGGACACTGCGGGGGGAGGGGGACTCCCTTCAAAGATCACTGGGCCCACTGAGATGACTTTAGAAAGAAGAAAGGACAGTTATTGAGGACACACTAGGACCATCTAGGTTCCATTTTAATATGGGGGAAGGTGTACAAAAATCTTGGCTAAAGAACAAATAACAGACCATTTTAATAGTACTAACCATTGGCCCATTTTATTTGTCAAGTAATTTATAGGAGAGTTTGTCATCCTGAACTATTATGCTTGTACTATTTTTGCACATTAGGATAATATCCATAGGATGGTGAATATTTTCCTAAATACTGAATTCTTCATGAACTACATGTTGGTAGCCTTCACTGAGTAATGGTATACTAAATGCATCCCAAAGTATAATTCAACTGTACATACCCTTTTGTACTCCTCTTGATCAAGAGATATGTCTTTCATATGTTCATGCATTTTTTTTCCTCTAAAATGGGACTGTGGGTTTTTATCTTGTATGTTTTTAGTATTTCATAGGCATGAAGCCAGTGCTCAAACAATAGATTCTGAAAGACTGATAGGGGTACCAGTGGGCACAGGGCAGTTCATTCCCCCTGCGAGGGCTCTGGCAGTCAGCACGCCACCAGCTGCAGGAAGATGCTCACCATCAAAATAGCAACTGACGCGGGGACACATGAAGGAGAGGGAGCTAAAATAAGCACCTCAATCCTCCCCAGTGAGATCCAGAAACTCCACCACCCTGCTGTCCTTGGGGCTATCTTCCTAGGGGGACACGTTTTCCCACTTGATGGGCTTTCTGCTGCTAGTTCGGTAGGCTTCCTATTACAGTATACATCCCATTACAGCAACAGGTCTTAAAAGGGAGCATGAGATCCTCTTATGTTTTCGAACATGCTCCTACAAAACCTTGGGAGGTGTTACGCTTCAAAATCCAAAGGATGTGGGTATTATCTAAAATCACAAGTGTAAAAATTAAGAGGCAGAATTCTCAATTTTACCTTCTGTCATATATTTTTTTCAAAATCTTTGGTGCCTTCTAGGACTTGCCTTGTAGCAACCACAAAATGCATAAACAAGCAGCAAATGAACATTGAAGAAAAAGTCAGCTTGCTATTTGATACTCACATGTACTTGTGAATTTGACCTTATATTGTTTATAGCACCCAAATATATACTGTGGGCCAAATATCTGCATCCCCTGAAGTTAATATGTTGAAGTTCTAGTCCCTAAGGTGATGGTATTTGCTGTTGGGGCCTTTGGGAGGTGACTAGGTC